ACTTCTAGGAGATTCTTTCTATGGGAAAGAAAAATGGGCAAAAAGAAGTTTTGTTTTATTTTTATTCTGGCACTAAAAGATCTAATTCTGGCTCTGCTCCAGTTGGCTCATGGACTGTGAGCATGTCATTAACACCACGTCGTGCTGTCTTCTGTGAATTAGTGTCATACCACTGTGTCTTCAGAAAGATTGTAGGAAATAAACTTTACAAAATGAAATGTAAAATTGCTAACCAATGATTTTGATGTTAGTCCTTTTACTCTAAAACTTTCTGAGCATTATTCCAAATAGATGATCTTCAGTTAAGAGGTCATCAAGATTTAAATAGTATCCAAATCTTGTGCTGAAGGATGTATTCTATACAAGTGATTTATAAGGCCAAATCTAAGTTATTGGCAGACAATAACATTTTTTCTTCTTTTTTCTTTTTTTATTTCAGTTATTTATTGAGAAAGCTGATGCTGAAGAAAAGTGGTTCAAGAGATTAATTGCTCTCCGACAGGAAAGGCTAATGGGCAGTCCTGTGGCCTAAAGTTATGTTCATCTGGTTGAATTAACAGTAACATTGGAAATTTAGGTTTTTAAATCCCAGTATTAACTCTTAAAAATAATGTAGCTTATTATATAAAAAGGTAACCTCATTTCATTCTTTTCTCATGTAGGCTTGAATATTTGTTGAGTTGAACTTAATCAAACATTGTGAATATTAAAACTAGTGTAAAGTTTAAGAATGCATGAAAATGTCATACTGATAATAAAGCTAATCCTGAACATATTGGTATTAAGGCAAGTGGTACACAGTAGTGTTTCTGAGTACAATTTGAAAAATATCAAGTTGCCATTTAAAGACACAATTTTGACTAGTCATGCATATAAAAGAGTCGAAGTATATGCTATAAATATGAGATTTTATCTTCCACGTATTATAAAACCATATTTGAATCTTTTATTTCACCTTATTGAAAAATTTTAGGCACAACAAAAAGCACTGTAAACAACCTAAGCAGCATGAACCATGTTACTCTTAGAGGAGTAATACATTTAGTAAAAAAAACTACTTGAAAATTAAATAAACTGATGGTTTATTTGCTTAGAGATCAGCTTTTGCTAGGTGATCCTCTGAAACATGTTAGCAGGTCCCAGCTCATTGTTTTAAAAATTACATGTTCATGCTAGACCTAAGCAGTTGGCCAAATACTCATGATGGGGAACTGTTTCTGAGAAAACTGGTAAGAGCTCTCACTTCAGTGTTACTTAACCCTGCAGAGGAAGCCAGCTAATTGTAGTTTTGGTAAGGCTATCTGTCATCGTAGAATACCTTTCTCTGGTAGCTGAATGAAAATCAACTATGCATTCCATACTGAACAGGCCAGAGATAAGGACTTTTAGTCCTGCCTTACAAACTGCCTTCAACAGCTGACATGAGTTATTTCCCTTTTCTATTTTGTTCTGCTCGAATTTGTATCTATGAAGACTGTAGCCCAGAACACAAGATAAGCATGAAAAGTTCTTGGGCTAAGATTACCAATATATAGGACATTTTGATGCCATCTTTTTATATTTCTGAAACTACTAAAGTTGTAATCCCTGTTAAAAATGAAAAATATAAAGAACGTAAAATCAGTTGCAAAAGGGATGAAAAATAGACTGATGACCAAATACTTGTTTTTATACAAACATGTTTTCATATTCTAAATATATGCTAGTGGGTTTCTTTTCCTTAGCTATAAGTGGAAGTGCCCAGTATGAACTCAGGTGTGTGTGGTTTTTAACATACACAAATTTTTAGTGATTTTTAAAAGGGATTACTGGTACTGAATAATTTTATATTTCCTTTATTACATAACTTATAAATAGTAAAAGGACTATCACCCTTTGGGGAATTATATTTTAGTGGTCTAGGCAAGAATATGGGTTGTCATTTGGGCCACTAGTGATTCTCCAGAGAAGCTAGACTAGGCATTTTTTCTCAGTATGCTTGATGTTCCTCATTTATAACATAGTGAAAATATTATGATCCACTTTAATTATATTTCACACCAGAGTTCCTCTTTGGCAAGTAGCCCAAATACAGATGCTTGAACTGCAATAGATTTATATTTTAAAGCTAAATTTCTCATAGAGATAGAGAATCAAGTTGTTTTTTTAATCAACTAAACTTTAGTCCCTGCTAAACTCAATGACTATTCCCCTTCTTCCTGATTTCCAATGTGATTCATTTTAATATATTACTTAACTTTGTTTACCTGCATCCTGTTGAAGACTACAATATTGCCACATAAGCCAAATCAAATTTAATGAGAAAGACTTCATAGACCACTATCAAACATATCACCAAACTCAAGGTAGGCGATCCATGAGGGCCTTCTTTAATATCCTAATATAATGACTCTATAAAACAGAACAGTCCCTTTCATGTCAGTTGACTAGTGGCAACAGTTTGGACTTACATGAGACCTCAGAGTGTTTTTTGAAACATTGACTTCACACAAAATGATGAGTACTAATAATACAAGTTTTCATTTCTGAACAAGTGCATTTTCAGGGAAAATGGAATAAGAACTTTTTTTTTCTGGCACTCCCTAATTACGAGGAGGCAGATACCTAGGAATATGAGCACAGAACACTCTGAGTCTTTCACCTACTTCACTTCAGCATCTCAGCAGGTTAAATGAGGATACTATTTTGATTTTTCAGTATTTTTGATTTTCAGGCATTTTTCATGCCTATTTTGATTTTTCAGTAAAATAACACAAAAGAAAGCCCGTGGTAGAAAAAGTGTACTGTTTATGCCAAGGGAACATTTTGGCATGGTAGCCCATCTTAACGGAAATATGGAACAAATAGTTGCACGGGTAATTATTTGAAAAACTACACTCCAACTTCAGTGTACTCCTTATGTATGTGTTTGAACTGCCATGGCCAATAGACCCCAGCTTTGTCCCCAGATTTCTCTGATGTCGCTCCCTGCCAAGACCACAAGAAACCCTGATTGCTCTTCAGTGAGTGACCTACTATCTGCTTACTGGGGGATCTCAGGGCTTCTTCCATCAGATTTACCCACTTACTCATTAACGTCTTTTTGACTACCTAGTTTGTGCTAGGCAGAGTAAGGGCAGTTGGGTATACATGGGTGAATCCAGTGGGGATCCTGCCCTCAAGAGGCTTAGTTATGAAGCCCAGACATGTATATGACATAAGACATATAATACTTAGTGGCAGAGGAGAGGACATGGTTGCAAAAAAGAGAGAGATTACTGCAAGCTAGAAAATTAAGGAAGCCTTTGGAGCCACAGGAACTCACAGCTATCCACTTCCACCTTCCTGGTAGCTGCTGTAGGGGTCTGGGAACTGTTGCACTTCCAACCCAAGGAAGAGTCCCTCTTGTGAAAGACCCAAGTGGCCCTGCCCTCTCGATCCTATTAAAATCCAAGCAAAATTTTAGGTTCCTGGTCGCCCTCTGGCTTTCTCTGATCATTTCTTCCTTTTGGTGGAGAATCAGCTGAATAAGCTGATTTGGCCACTATCACCAGTCTTGTATCACCACCACTTGTCAGCCAAGATGACTTGAGTGAGACATGTAATGGTAGCTGAAGGAGACTTCCAGTACTTCTAAGAAAGAATTACATCTGCCAGTAAGGCCTTGCACAGCAGTGGGGACAACGGCGTGTTCCCTAATCCTCTGTTTTTCCATTGTGTGCTATTACAGAAAGCATTGTTTTGGAATGAAAAGATATAGTTCATTTCCTTGTGGTTAGGTCTGTCTCCAAATTTTCCTTTGATTTGGGTATCAAGTGAAAATCTTGGTATCAAGTGAGTAACTAAGGTAGTAACAAAAGCTAGAAATGAAACAAGACACGGGACATTTTTGGTCACTAAACTATGGATGAATTGATCTGGAATTCTTACACCCATATTACTCCTTCCTTCCCCCCCCTTTTCCTACCCCCAAATTCCTCATGAGTATGACGGAAGAGGTCTTGAACCAGCTCCTGGCCATTACTCAGTGGATACAGTGCTTGAATTATTCAGAAAATGTTTAAATGCCATCCTTTAAATGTAAGCCCTGCTTATTACTCTTTGGAACTCCTTTATGGAATAATGGAAAAGCGAGTCATCTTGATAAGAAAATATCTGAGTCTTTACAGAAGAACAAGGATAAAAACGGAGGTAAGAAAGAACTCTTTGTGACTTCTCTAATCATCTTCACCTTTTTTCATAGAGATGGATGTTGATCAGTATATTCTATTTGGTGGGTTCTTTCCCAAATCAAAGAAAATGCTCTGTCGTCATGTATTTCCAAGTCATTTTTGCTATTATTGTATCCCCAGAATCTAGCCCATGCCTGACACAAGAAGTCTCTCAATAAATATTTGTCAATGAAGGAAAAATGAATTTGCTCATCTTAAATGGGCAGTCTGTTTAGCAGTATGGCTATTTAAAATACTCAAGCTATTTGGAGCCAGTGCAAAAACAAATAGGTGTCTAGGTATGTACCCAAAAGAATTGAAAGCATGGTCTTAAAGAAGTATTTGTACACCCATGTTCATAGGAGCATTATTCATAATAGCCAAAACAGGGAAGCAACTCAAGTGTCCATGGATGGATGAAGTAAAATGCAATGTGTGTGTGTATATATATATATATATGTGTATATATATATATATATATATACACACATATATATATATACACACACAATGGAATATTACTCCGCCTTAAAGAGGAAGGAACATGTATGAACCTTGAGGACATTATGCAAAGTGAAATAATCCAGTCACAAAAAGACAGATGCTATATGATTTACGTAGAAGAGGTACTTAGAGTAATTAAAATCATAAAGGGGAAAAGTATAAAGGTGGTTGCCAGGGCCTGGGGTGAGGAGAAATGGGTTTATTGTTTAATGGGAATAGAGTTTCAGTTTTATAAGATGAAAAGAGTTATGGGGATGGATGGTGGTGATGGTTGTACAACGGCATGACTATGTTTAATACCATTGAACTGTACACCTAAAAATGGTTGAGGTGGTAACTGTGTATATTTTACCACAATTTAAAAATCTATTTAAAAAATACTAAATAAAAAAATAGATGAGTTTTGTGACCAGATTAGTTTGGTTTCTGTGATTTGTGTCTCCACATGTCTCTGAGCTGACAAAGGCCTTTGGAATTCCTGGGGAATATAGAGTACACCGGTCTTCTCTATTACATTAGCGACTAACAACAGTGGGGCTAGAGTTTAAGCAAGGATCTTACTAGTCTTCACTTGCCTAGACTTTCTTTCTGGGCCAATTTTTATATTATATAAATAATATTTTAAATGATGTACATGTGGTCATTCAAGGTCCACCCACTGGCTCCTGTGACTGCTCTCCTTGCAAATGATAGGTCAGTTTTAAAGAAGTAAAGTCTACCAATGTAGTAAGACAACACTTTTAACTCAACAATGTACCATTTTATTTTTAGGTCTTGAGAAGGAATGGCAAAATGATCCTGCTGCAGTGCTAGGAGAGAATGATGAACTGAACTGACCCTCTCTTCTTCACATCTTGTAACATGGTACTCAGGCTTAAATCCCAGTGTACAAAACCTAGTATAGTGCAGGCTCCCTTCATAATCTTTTAAAAGATGAACTGCTAAAATCCCATGTCTTGAATAAAATCCGTAACTAGAGTTTATCTACCTGTTCGTGTTCCATGAAAATATCACAAGCTCAAAATGGAATTGAAAACAAATAATTGAGAAATAAATAAATGTTTACCACATACCAGCACAATGGTTTCAATGCCTATATTAAAGATTGGGTAGACTTTTTAAACAAATTCTGTAACTGGATTATTTATATAGCCCCATTGTAGCTTTTCTTCTTCCTCTTTCTGCCATAGCAAATCTAAATGACCTGGAGAAGATAACTCATAAGATAACTCATTTATTAATAGTTTGAAAAAATACTTTTTTCAGAACGCTTTGTATTTGAATCAGCCGCAGTGTTACTACATGCAGGGAAAATGAGGAGTCATCCAAAATTATAATCTCCCATAAATATACTTTCTCCATGTTTGAAATAGTTCATTTCAAAAAAAATTTTATACCTACCATAGAGCATAATTAGCAGCCCAGTCTCTGTGTTATGTAATAGCTGTTCCCTCTAAAACACTTAAACTTTCAGGAAGTAAACCATTTTCACATTAACATTTGTTCCCCTACGAGCACACTTGTGTTTCCAAGGTCATGTGGGCCGTTTTCAGCAAAGGTGCTCAGAGAATTTTAACTCACTTTTTTTACAATTAATAAGAGAAAGTGACAAGTGACTGGTAAATTGGTTAGTATTCGACACAGTCTAGAAAATATCAGAGACTCAGTTTCCGTTTGGGATTCTTAATTTGAAGTTCCAATTTCTAAATATGTTTATCTTGCTATACTAACTGCAATATAATTCCCAAAAGGCATTGTTCAATTAATTTCTAAATCCCTTTGAAAGGCATTTACACAGACCTTAGAGAGCTTTGAAAGGGTTACAAAACTCATCAAAGAGTTCTTATTTTTTGAAAAACCTATTTTAGAATTTACCACAATCGATGACAAAAGTCTCTGTCTTTTCACTAACAGAGACAGCATAGATTTGAAATGTATTTTTGCTTTGGGAGTTTAAAAAATAATATAATGTTTAAATGTCGATGGGGGATTTGAATATTGGATTCTAGTTCAAATGTGAAATTTGTAAGTTAAATATCAATGGCCACCATTTTACTAAACTAATTCTCTTTCTGATAAGTACTTCAAAACTTTCTCAATATTCATTTATATATTTTTTTCTATAAATTATATAATTTATGCCAGCTAGCAAATGGCCACATATAATTTATTAAATTTGCTCATTTGCTAGAAAAAGTGTACACAAAATGAGAGTTATATCAAGAATTAAGCTTTTTCTTAAGTGATATCTTTCACATTTTGTGATTTGGGTTTTTTTGTTTTTTTTTTTCCTCATTGAAAAATACTAACAAAACACAAAAAGGAAGGTCATCCATGTGGAACCAGTTTTTGAATGTAAACATTATCTGTCCTTCTTAGTCGGCTGCTGTGTTGTCTGTCGCCTCTGGTGACCATTATTAACAGTCCTCCCAGCCTTTCCCTCTGCTTGAACAAATATGGCTCTGTTGAGATATTGACACATGGGCTCTCTTTTCAGACCATGAAAACAGATTTGTCTCCAGTTAATTTTTTTCCCGGATCATATTCCTTAGATAACTTTCCTGAGCAGTACATCTATATGCCTCATTGTTTTTAATGGCTGCGTAGATCCCTAAAAGTGGAATCGCTAGGACATAGGGTATGTACCTTTCACATTTTAACTAGTAAATAACAGCAACAATAAGTTAACTTTCAAATTGGATGATTTCATGCAAATTAAGATTATCTTCAAATCACTCAAGAACTAAAAAGTCATTTTATAATGAGAGGACATTATATATAGCTAGTTCTCGCCATCATCCATCAGAATCATTCTTCAGTCTTTTGTTCTCTGCAGTGTCCCAGGAGGCTGACCTTTACAGACTATATCACCCAGTTTCCCTTGCCCTCTGGCTTCTGGTTGGGTTCAGCCAATAGTAGGCACTAGCAGGAAATCACAGGAAGGAGGAGAGAGAATTGGGTCTCTGTACCCCTGCTGTTTCAGTTGTGGTTGCTTTCCTAAGTGTGGCTAGCCCCTCTCTCAAGGATACAGTTCCCACCATGTTATAGTAACAGCTCCCTCCTCCTGCCTTCTGACCTGGAGGCTGGGGCAGTTTGCGGTAGCTGTTAGTCCCTGATTGGCTTCCTTAACCCTGCTCACATCTCTGTATATATTGCCTTCGTTAAACTCTTTTGAGTATGTCATTTGTTTCCTGCTGGGACAAAAGCAGATAAAATTATCTGCAAGGGCAGTGTATCAATTAGGATTAATTATAGCAATTAGTTTTAGCTTCATAAACAATAACAACAGTAACAACAAACAGTGGCTTAAGTAAGAAAAACGTTTATTTCTCTCTCAAATGAAAGACATTTAAAGGCAGGTATGGTGGCTTCACATGTGAGGAACCCTGGCTCTTGCTCTAACATCCTCATTATGTAGGTGGCTTCCACCATGTGATTCAGTCCGGCTCTAGCCATCGTACTCACATCCCACTGCCCACATTCTGGGCAGTGTGAAGGATGTACTTACTCCTTTCCTCTTAAGAAGACTCAGAAGTTAAAATTAAAGGAAACTTGGAAGTTTGTATGTCATCCCTTAGAACTTAGTCACCTGACTACTCTCCTGTTGCAAGAGAGATTAGGAAATGTATTTCAGCTTGTCAGAGCAGAAAATAGCCTGATAATTATGAATCTTACTATTTCCTTTAAAAATATAGAAGATCCTAAAGAAACCTGGCTACACAGCACATCTGCCCATTCAAATTTTTGCTAATTCAGAAAATAGTTCCATCAAATGCTGCTGGGTGGCATACTCCCGTTTCCAGCTCTCCAAAGGCCGCTTGACAAGCATCCTTTTCATGAAGTTACAGTAAGCTGTGACAGCAGTAGCTTTATGTACAAACATTTCAGACATGAAGTGAGTGAGTGGCATTTCAACCCTGAGAATTCCTAATCACCATTGCTCCTCAGTTCTTTATCCCAGGCCAGTACTCATCGGCTAAGAGTAGTTCTCGGAGCCTGAATGTATCCCATTTAGAGAGGTCTGGCTTGAATGTTTCAGCTTGACTCCATGTCAAAATGGTATGATGTCTTGAGGTGAGGGCCCAGGGGAAAGGAGGCACCAAATCATCCGTTTAACTCATGTGCCTAATCACCTCCTTTTCCATTTAAGTAGTTTCCATGTCTATTCAACTTCTTCTCCTTGAAGGGAAAGAAAGAACCTTTCATTCATCTTATATTGTAAGCACATGGAAAATGCTCAATTCAATTCTCATTCTACATTTACCAGCCAACCTTTGATCAATGATTTCTGTCTCCACTAGCAGGATCTTCCTGTCAACAAATATTTTAACTTACTAAAAAATTGAATTAACCAGGTGTGTGATCTCATGTGAGTGAAGCAATAAATATGAATTTTTTCAGCCTGCTCTCACTCCCAAAAAGCCAAGCAAAACCATCTAAGGTAAACGAGAGGTATGGTCTGATTCTCTCTGTCTTAGGAAGAAAGGTTGAAAAGGAGGCTCCCAGTGCTTCAACTCTTCCCCAGCCAATATATCAAAGTCGTAGATCAGCTAGAAATTAGGGGCAGGAGTCCCAACTAGTAATAGAGGTGCATTTGCCTGGAGCATGCCTTTGCTTATATTTCTGGCAACCAGGTGAGCCGTCTGGAAGGGGCAGGGAGATAGATGAGAACCTCAACTCTAACATGTAAGCCACAGGTAACAATATGTAGTTAAGTATTTATTACCCACTGTGATGGCTTTAAAACATGTCTGCAAATTCTTTGACACTTCTCCCGTTGAGGGGGCGGGGAGGGGTCTATATCCCCTTCCTTGAATCTGGGTCAATCTTGGTGACTTGCTTTTAACCAACAGAACACACCAGAAGTGACACAGCATAACTTCCAAGACTAGTTCAGGAAAGGCTTATGCCTAATTCTCTTGGGATACTCACCCCAGAACCCTGAGCTGTCATACAAGATGCCAATTACTCAAGGGCTGCCGTGTTGTGAGAAAACCCAGGCAATATGGAGAGTCTGCATGTTGATGTCCTGGCTGACAGTTCCAGCTGAGGTTCCAGCCAACAACCAGCATGTGAGTGCAGACTCCTGCAGCCACAGTCCCCCTAGCTGAGGCCCTTCAGATAAGCCATCTTCATTTCCCAGTCTAAATTCCTTACCCACAGCATCTATGAATGTGATAAAATGGCACCTCCATACCACAAAGTTTTGAGGTGGTTTATTAACACCGCAAGAGTAACCAACCCTATTGAGTCACTGAAAACCTGGTTGAACCACATACTGATAAACACTGATGTTTATATGGAGGTCTGCTGAAAGCTGGGTGATTGCCACTGTTAGCAGAGACTGCATGGCATGGTGGTATGAAATGAGCTATAGAGTTAAACCTAAGCCTAAACCCCCTAAGCCTCTGTTCCACGATCTAGTAAACAGGAATAGTAATTCCTATCTTGCAGAGTTTGTATGTGGATTAGAGCTGATGTGTGTACAACACTCAAAAAGTACAGTGCCTAGCAAAGAACCAGAATCAATTAAACAAATAGTTAAGAATAGCAGTGCTGTAATTTTCTGATTTTATATTCCCTACCATTTCACTTGGATTGAAGCTTTATGCTCTTGTGAATGATCTTATTTCATAAAGCTCAGTTGGACAGACAGATCTATAAGAGTATTTGGGTTAAATGATAAATATAATTAGAAAATGAGAGTACCATGTAAAAACAAATACTGAGTTATTTAGTGCCTTTAGCTAGAAATCGGCTTGTCCTACAAGCTGACTGCCATGAGTAAGACTGAATAAGCCATAATCATCAAAATGACTGAGAATTAAGAAAGAAAATTAATTCGCAAAGGTAATCGCTATAGA